GTGGTCTTTCAGAGCTCCCCAGGCAGGGCGCTGTGCAGACCCTGCCTGCCGCTCCCGACCCGCAGCCGTGCTCATGTCCGGGCGCGCCAGCCGGCCTCCAGGCCCACAACGGGGCCACCTCTGCCTCGGGGGCTCCCTATAGCAACGGTCCTGTCCCAAATACAATGATGTCTTCACAGGTGGCAGTGAATCAAGGATATAATTCCCAGCTTCCAGGAGCCTACCCTCATCTGCTACCAGCAAAGACTTTGAATCCGGCCTCTGGACAGTCCAGCTATTGTGCTTCTCAGGAATCCGGGCAGACTCTTCACAGACCACCTGTGTCTTCTCACCCAGTGGGACCCTCACTCCACAGTGGTCCTGTCTTCCAAATGCTGCTGCCTGAGTCTCAGAGTCCAGCTGCTGCCCCAAGGCTTTCTGGTGGCTTTTCTCCTGGCGCCAGTCAGCTGCCACTTGTGAAATGGCAGCACAGCCCTCCATCCCTGGCCCCACATAGATGAGCCATTGTCCTCCTGCACCATCCCAGCCGGCTGTACTTGGGAACACAAACTTATGAGCACATCACCAGTATGTTTCTTCTGGAGACCCCCTCACTTCAAAACAGCTATGTAACATCAGGTTCTGCCCTTCCCTTACGGAATTCACCTCTGGCTACCACTTTCCAAACAGGAGCTCCTCCTGGGCCTCCTCCAACTAGGGGCCCACCACTGGTAAGAGCCCTTGCACCCCAGAAAGCACCACTAAGAGCTGCACCCCAGCCTTCATTCAATGCTGCTGTTAACCAAGAAGCAACACTACAGCTTGCTATTAAGAATCCCCAGATGAGCTGAGGTGTTAGATATGCATATCCCTCCTTACCTCCTGGTTATCAGAACACAGCACCACCTAGCAGTACAACTGGAATGCCATCTTCTTCCTTGAATTACCCAAGTGGCCCCCTGGCCTTTCCTCAGACTCCCTTAGGTGCTAATCATTTAACTGCAAGCATGAGTGGATTAAGTCTGCATCTGGAGGGCCTGTGCATTGTCAGTTTTCTTCAAGAAAGAAAAATGCTTCCTGCAATACCTTTGCAGCCTCCAGTTCCAAATTTATATGAAGACATCCAGAAACTCAACTGTAACCCAGAGTTATTTTGATGCATGCTGACTAGCATTCCTCAGACTCAGGCCTTACTGAATAAAGCCAAACTTCCTCTGGGGCTGTTGCTTCATCCTTTCAAAGACCTAATGCAATTGCCTGTGGTTACATCCAGTACAATTGTAAGGTGCTGCTCATGCAGGACATCAACTCTTTTGTCAGTTTCCTTGATCAGAGGAGATGGAAGTGTAACTTATGTTACCAAGTCAATGGTGGTCCTGAAGAATTCATGTTCAACCCTTTGACTAGAGTTTATGGAGAACCTCACAGAAGACCTGAAATTCAAAATGCTACTATTGAGTTTATGGCTCCTTCAGAATACATGTTATGACCACCACAACCTCCAGTGTACCTCTTTGTATTTGATATATCTCATAATGCAGTTGAAACTGCATACTTGAATTCAGTTTGCCAGAGTTTGTTAGACAATCTAGATTTGCTTCCTGGCAACAAAAGAACAAAAATTGGCTTCATAACATTTGACAGTACAATTCAAACTGAAATAGATACGTTTATCAATTAGCTAAAATTTGTAACTTGATTTCTCTTGTAAAATTTCTTACTTTCTCTGGCTTTGTTTTATGCCCTTCAGAGCTTTCTTAGCTGTTTTTAATCCATTACTTATTTCCTTTTTTCAATTCTTTTTTCCAATTTGAGTGCAAGCCCTATTCGATCCTCTCTGACTCTGACCACAGCAGGTACCCTCTGGTGCACTAAAGTCAAGCAGTTCTCATGCTTTTGTCCCCACCTCCTCCACACCTGTGAATTTAGCAACACAAAAGGAGGGGGAAAGTCTAAACTCTCTCGGTCCAGCTCTGAAAGGATCTGTTTCTTTCCAGCATCTTCCTCTTTCTGATGGAGGACCAGGGTATTGTTTTTTGCTTCTAGGGTGCACATATGAAGCCAAGGAGGTATTCTGTGGCACAATTTGAGCCATAAATCAAGATAGGGAAATTGATGTGGATGTTTCCATCTAAGGGCGATGACTGTTAGCCAGATGGACCAGATGAGACCCTCATCTAGGAATCTCTCAGATGGCCAAGCTGGGCAAAGCATGGGCCATTCTAACAGAAGGTTCTAAGTTTTGGGGGTTTCATCTTAATACCATAATTTCCAGTAAAACCTTTCTTAAAATTCTTAAGCATGCATTTCAAAACAGTAGGACGAGATATTTCTGTCCCCACGATCAGCCGATCAGAGTGTTGGTGTGTGGGTACCCTTGTACGGAGATGCAAGACAAACAAAGGTGGGGGGTCATTCACTTGCCTGCCTGGCTGCGGGCCTCTCGGCCTCTTTAAGGTCAGTTCAGGCTAAGGTGGGCTGTTGCATAAGTTCACCATTGTGCCTTTGTTAAACGCGACCACAGAATCTTGGGACAGACCTCACACAAATTCTGTGAGGGGAGGACTCTTTAACCTCAAGCACTTCCTCCCTTTGTCTTGTTCTGCAGTTTGTTTCACACACTCTCCTATCCAGAACTCTTTCATTCACACATTCCCTCCCGGTGACCCCCTAACCATAACCAAAACAAATGAAAGAAGCTACCTCCCCAAATGGCAAAACACAAGGGGTGATCAGGCCCCTGCACTATGTTTGCCCAAAGTTCACAAAGTGAACCAAAACAAATGGGAGGAGCTACCTCCCCAAATGGCAAAGCACAAGGGGTGATCAGGTCCCTGTGCTGTATTTGCCCAAAGTTACAGAATACAAATTCACAAAGTGAACCAAAACAAATCCAAAAGTTAACAACTAGGGGCTTTCCCAGGGTTTCTCACCAAGCAAAGGAAAGAGATAGATGAGACACCAACAGCAGCAGCCCTCCTTCTGTTGTCTTCTGTCTCGGGTTTGGGCAATCTGCCACTCATGAGCAGGTCTCTGTGTCCTGTTGGGGAGCCTAGGAAATTAGTCCCAGGGGCACGCCATTCCCCTCAAGGAGGCAAAGAGCCACTCCCTCCGGTGGAGTTTGGGCCGATGCCCAAAAGGGCCACTTCTTTCCCGATTTCCGGTCAGGGAACCAAATGTTCCGGAATCGCGGAAAGAAACACACAGAGACACAGAATTCGAGTAAAATTACAAAGGTATTTACTTGCAACAAGCTGGGACACCAGAAACTGGTCTGGTTAGAGTGGCCCCCTGCGTTCTTTGTTCATCACCTTTTATACTTTCGTCAGTCATTACCTCATCCCTAGTGGTCTTTGTTAAATAGATAAAGTTCCAATTCCTGTTTAATGGTTAGACACAGGTGGTTTCTGTCACTGATTACAGCCCTAAACACATGACACTTAAGGCACATATATCACAAGTTTGTACAAGGATTCCCAGTTTGTTCTTCAGAGCTAGAATGTTATCTATAGTGGAGCTTCAGATCAAAGGAGCTATATAACCTTCACTTTAAATAACAGAAGCAAAGGGCTAAGGCAAACTTTTAAAGGGATACACTACCTATTTTGCTTTCACAACTACTGTAATAGCTAATCTACTAAATGTACTTTAAAACTTTTCCCTATCAATAATATGTAAGTTGTGAATGTCATATGAAGAGTAGTTCAAGACATCAAAAGCAATAAAGGCAACAGCACTAAGAGAATTTAGAAAAAAATCATGCTTACTTGAAATGAGACATAAGAGCATTTGACAAAATTTAATGTTCTTTCCATGATTCACAGCACAGAAATGAGGAAAAAAAGTTTGTTTATTTGTTTGTTTGTTTGTTTTCCCTAGTACTTGGGATTGAACTTGGGACCTTGAGCTTATGAGGCAGGTGTGGTGCCACTGAGCTAAATCCCCAGCCTAATCAAGAGAAATAGAAGAAAACTTCCTCAGCAACCCAAAAGCCACATTTGAAAAGATCATAGCTTGACAGTCCTCTGTGGTGAAAGACTGAAAGCCTTGCTCAAAGATCAAAACAAGGCAAGAATGGCTGTGTTCATTCTTCAAGTCAACATGGATGTTTATGTACAAAACATTCTGGATTCCCCACAAAACTGTTAAATCTAGGGCTAGGGATTTAGCTGAGTGGCACCATGCCTGCAAGCACAAGGTCCTGAGTTTGATCCCCAGTACCAAAAACAAAACAAACAAAAAACAAAATAAACCTGTGAAATCTAATAGCAAATTAAATGAAATTTCAGGATAGAAGAAAAATAAATAAAATTTGGCTGTGTTTCTCTACATGGAGATTCAGTATGGTTGGTAGACAAATTTCCACTGTAGGGATTTTAGGTAAGGATGCTGCAGATGCACCCAAGTGCATAACTGCAGTAGAACCCATGGGAAGCAAAGTGGCAAGGACCTGGTTCTGACCTGGCTTCCCCCAGGAGATAATCTGCTAAACTTCAATCCAGTAAGATTTTATTAGAGCCCAGGAGTGAGAAACTGAGGCCACAGGCTGACAGAAGGCCACAAGCTTCTCCCGCCTCTACCTACCATATACAATCACAAGACATCTGAGTGGCCCCAAGTGCAGCTCACACAGCTGTGTGGGCTGGCTCTTCCTTCAAGGTGAGGAGACAGCAGAAAGCTGTGTCTCTACCCAACAGGGTATCCCTCCCTGCTTTACATGGAGCAGGTGTGAGTCTGGTGAAAAGCAATCTCTGGGACCATTTTCTCCCTTTCTGCTATACTGATTTCCCTCTCCTTACTCCTTCTTTTTGGCTGTAATATAAAGGACATTTCCTTAGGCTGATGCTAATAAAATTATAATATCAGCATTAATAAAACAGTTTACAGATGTTAAGCAGATACTAAATTAGAAAGGTTAAAAAACTTGACCTCACTAAAAAAAAACCTGTTGGGAAAGCATAGATCAATATTATTTCTAAAACTTTAGGCTTACTGGCAGAGAAAAGCAGAAACATCCTTACCTCATGGCTGCTGGAAATCAGGTAGAAGTTCTGCAGTGCTTTCAGCAGGATGGACTCCTCAGAGATCTGGCCAGTCTGCTATGGGATTTGCTGAGAAACTGAAACACCAAGAAACATTTAATATGCAATCTTTGGCTGTGTCCTTGCAATAGCAAGTTGGAAACTGAAACTAAAATTGGCCAGTTACTCCTCAGAGAAATAAAACTTAAACAGGACTACCTTTTTTTTTGTCTCAAGAATTGAAAATACATGTACTGGCATGTAAAATACTCTCTCTTGGCCTGGCGAAGACCTGGGCACTAGGAAATGACACTCAGTGCAGTGACTGAGCCCAGAGCTGTAACTGGCATTGCAAAATGTAACTTTTAAAGGTTAGGGTTTTTTTTCTTTTAGAGATAAACAACTTCTCCAGACTTGCTCCTGCTCAGCACATAGCAACACCCTCTCCTCTCTTCACCCCAGAAGGGACAGAATACGTAGGTGCCAGCCCCAGGAGGCCAAGGGTCTGGTTTGTTTTCCACAAGAAAGAGGAGGATGCGGTGAGGGCGGCTGGGAGTGAGTGCAAGTGTGGAGATCTGCATCATCTCTCTGTGCACCCCTCCCCTCTGTTCCTTACTATAAAAGACCCTTGCTCACCAGTAAACAGTGAGTTGATGCTTTGAAAGGTAAACAGGCCTCTCCATCCCCTCAGAGCTAGCTCTGAATAGATCTTTTTCATTTTCACACAAATATGTGGCCTCCTTTGATTTTGTCAGTGACAAGCAGAGGAACCTAAAGGTGTGAGCCTAAGTGGCCAGTCACAGTTTTGGTAGCCATGAAAGGATTTTAGTCCCTGCTCCTGAGAGCTATGTATCTTGGTATTATATAGGCAGCTAAGTTAGATATCAATTAATATACAGTCAGAGAGGGAATGTACTCTCAAGGAAGTCAGCAGAAAAAATAAATACATCAGAATTGTGGTTGCAGGTGGACCTAAAAAGGCCAGGCCTCAAGATATAGATGCAATGCCCAGGCCTACATGCCTCCCTAGGGGATAAGCAGTAACTTAAAATTATACTGTAATTAGCTCCACCTGGTCCAGGAAGTCCAGCTAGGCAGAGCAGAGCTTCCAGAGCTATTGTTTCTCAAAATTGCTTTTTTCTTTCCACGTACCCTTATTATATGATTAATTTCCTTATTGGACCAATATTAACTAACCATCTATACTTGTAATCCTATACGTTGATTGCAGTTTGACCCACACTGTGACTTTGCTGTTTAAATTACCCCTGTCTTGGTGACAACCTACCTTTAGGACCCCTCCTGTCTCTCAGGAACTATCTCTCAATATATCATTCCTACTCTTAACCTCCATTGTTCCTTAAAATTTATTCTTCAATTTTGGAGGACACAAACTTGGCATATCTGACACCTAGCAAGTTGGGAGTTGTATTTCTCCTATATCATTTGGGGGCCTCAGTGAGATAATTGGAAGGAGGTAAGAGTTTGCTTTGTTTCAAGGCAGCCAAACTTATTTAAAACATTGTCAGATAAAGACTGACAAGCTCAAGGCTTATATAGGAATAAAAGCCTTAAAGTTGCTAACATAGAGGTTACATATGATTTAGGTTAAGAGGTGTATTTTGGTATGTTAACTTGTAAATATACATTATACACCAAAAGTTCTACTTAGGTGGTCTTATAAATAAAGAAATACTCAAGACATTATTTCAAGTACTTGTGGTTCATATAAGAGTAGGTTAATTTGAATCACTTGGTAAGAATAAAGTTGTGTTTAAATTTGGTTACATATTTTCATCCAAGTTGTTAGATAATCAAGATAATATTAAAAATAATCTTATAAACGCAGTGTCTACTGGGCCAGGGATTTAGCTTAGTGGTGCTGTGCCTGCCTTGCAAGCGCAAGGTCCTGAGTTTGATCCCCGGTACCACAATAAATAAATAAATAAATAGATAGATAGATAGATAGATAAATACATAAATAAATAAATGCACTGTCTGTTGTTGTATTATTGCCTGTGTACCATACTAAAGAGCTTTTCTTGGTCAAAGATTTTGTGTTAGCTCTTGTGACATATTATCTAAATAACTGTTTTTGGCTAAAATTAAAAGGTCAAGTTTTCTATGTTAAACAATATGGTTTTCTAAAGTATTAGAACAGTCATGTTTAAACTTAAAGAACAAAATTTAAAAACAAAAGTTTCTATATTTTACTAAAATAAGTTTCTTGTGTTTTCATCATTAGGCTTTTGGTTACTAAAAACTGAGCTGTAAAAGTTGAAAAATATTTAAATATAAACCTACGAAATATTTTCAGTAAGTAGTTCATGATGGATCAAATAAACAACTATTATCTTAGTCTATGACATAACATATATTTGGGCATTACATATATCCATACATCTAAATGATGTATATATGCATACATCTAAAAACAAGCTATTTTGTGAGTCTAAGCTTTAAAGTTAAATTTGTAGAGTTAAGACGATGTATGTCTAATACATACAAAGTAACTAATAGATTGTCTCTTTTATACAATATATGTTTCAACCTTAAATATATAAAATGATTAAAATTTGACATCTCTTTAAATTTGGTGCTGACATGTAAATTTGATCCACACCTATTGTCTTTAATTAAACTAACATTTTTGTTATTCTATAAATGAGATACACTTGCACATTGAATAATAAGTCTATTTGCAGTCATTGATAGTTTCCTAAACTTATTAGAGCTATAAAGATGTTCTTAATTCTTGTCAATTTAGTTACACCTTATAATGCCTGCTTTCTGTGTGGTTTTTTTTGGTACCAGGGATCAAACTTAGGTCCTTGTGCTTTTGAGGCAGGAGGTGGAACCACTGAGCTAAATCCCCGGACCAATAATGCCTGTTAAAAGAATCTAAAGAAGACATTCCCACAGCCTCTGGGAACACTTTTGCACCTGAGAATCTCCCTCCTTTCTCGTTCATGTCATCAGCTGCCTATAAACGCTTTTGTTGGTAGAAGAGAAAAGGTTGTTTGGAGAGCCAATGAGCTCTACCTGGTTTCCTCCATGGAATTCCTCCACAATTTGTACATTCTCTTAAGTTGTTTGGCAGTGCCACCATTTGGGTGAGGTAAGGACCTTCACCATTTGGGGACATTTTGAACCCACTGCAAGTTAATTGGGGCCACTGACTGGTCATCAGTGCCATTTGGGATGAGGCAAGTGCCTTCACCATTTGCAGTCATTTTGGGGTACTGATTGGAATGAAAAGAGATTCAGAGGTAGAAAAAATTCCCAGGCATTTGTTTTGTTTTGCTTTGGAGTACTCAGTTGGTTTGCTTTGCTTTGACATGCTTTTGTTTGCCTTTGTTTCTTTTATCTTTCTCTTCTTATAATCACCTTTATTCTAGGATGGGCAGAAGGGTTACAGTACCATCTAGAATTATGTAAAATATTTGTGGTATCAAGTCATTCTGAGGCTTCTTTGTGAGCCAATATAGACTTCAAGGTTCTTGAACTATTTGTCAACCAGAAAAAAGTTTGGATTAAGAGATTTTAAGAGGACAGAGACACTGGTGGTGTGTTTTAGGAAGTCTGTGGTAAACTGCTCAAAAATAAAAGAGCTTGTGCTACTCTACAGCTTTCTAGAAAAGTTTTAGTTATCTGTGACTTAGAAAAAAGGTGATTTTATCAGGATACACCAAGGCCTGCATAACTGAAAGCATACTGACTTCAAGAGGATTCTTTGGGATAACTTTGGCTAAAATAATATTCATGGTGGCTTGCCTTGTCCTTTTCTAGATTACTGACAGTGACACATAAGGGCCTTCTCTACCCATTGACCATGCAGCTACTTGGCTAATGCTGATGTGATTTTTGGAGTTTAAATTTTGCCTTATTTTTGGCTAACAGTCCTTGGTTTGTAACAAACTAGTTTTTCAAAAATATTTGCCAAAACTTGTTTGCTAAAAATTGACTTTTGTTGCCAGTCCCTCCATTCTTTAACTGGAAAAATCGAGAATTTGACTACAGATGTTTTTGCCTTTGTATGTTTTCTTTGTGGGGAATATTGTTATTAAATTGGTTTCTTTTTTTTATACTGGAAGCCTTGAGCAATAGAGCCAGGATAAGATATGTAAACTTGTGACCAGTGATATCTAAATTTTAACAAAATGAAAAATGTCTTAAAACCTAGGACAAGAGCTTTTAAATTGACTAAGATTTATTCAGTTAAGCAGGAAAACAGAAAAAGCTTCAGAAAATGCAAACTCAGATTAACTAGGTAAGCAATCTCCTTTATATTTCTCACCTTGCTACAACCTGGAATCCTACCTTCAGGTATGCAAATTTAGAATTAAGTATTGTTTAGGACTGTAAAAAGGAAAACTATGCCAATAATGTAATTTAAAAAGTTGGTAAATAATAATTTAAACTTTTGTTTTATGTGTGTTGATACGAATGTGTGTATTATGTTGTAACCTATGTACTTGTGTTTATATATTGTTTAGATGGTACCAAACAATTTGTAAAATAAGAGCACTTAGTAACTAAAAAAGCATAAAACCAAATGCCTTTTTGTTTACATAACTTAAGGAAAAGCTTTAAAAGATGTAATAAAGGCATTCTCAACTGGCCACAACCATTTTGGTTGTGTTAACCAATCAGAATTATATTTTGGGTATTTGACTTTAGGAAAAGTTACAGGTTTGCAAGGGTTATAAAAAATTAAAGAGCATAGAGAGAATATAATTAAAAGTTTTGAGTTTGTTAGAAAACTTAGACTCTTGGGAATCAGAGTCATTTGAATATTGAGATAATGTAAATATAGCACTGGCTGCATTCTTTTTTTAAAAAATTATTTATTTATTTTTAAATTTTTTTTGGTTCCAGGGATCGAACTCGGGTCCTTGCGCTTGCACAGCAGGCGGTGAAACCACTGAGCTAAATCCCCAGCTCCCCTGCATTCTTTTTTTAAAAGTTAAAAATTTTTAGCTTGTCAGGAAATGTTATGTAACAATTGTCAATATAGAGGTTCCTGCTAGTAATAAAAGGGGTCAGAAGTTCAGTTAGATAATAGACATCCCCTATGGTTTATTTGGTAGAGAACTGGTTTATTACAGCAGAAAAGTTTGTACATTAGACATGTTGTAATCAAAGTTCATTCGAGAGTTTTCATACTAAGTCTATGTGAAAGAATAATCAGCTTTGTCTTACACATTAGCATGTCTGTGGCTGGACACTGGTCAGTTATGCTGGCTTCTTCTTAGTTTCCTGGCAATGAGACAGGAGGTTAGGGTGTGGCAAAAGTTGGGCAGGGAGGCAGATGTGACCTGTTATCTTCAAGATGCCAGACGTG